CCCCCCCCCAGAGGCCCAGAGGGTATTTTTGCCCACCACAGTACCTGCATGTAACCTTTGGTAACTTTGAAGAATAGCTAATAGCTCTAGTTCCACAGTGTTTGCAAGCAAAGAACCGCTTTGAAGCTTTGGTTTTCTTGAGTGGGTGATTTTCCTTGAAGCAAATGTCTGCCGCACTTTCATCTATGTATTTACACTGGAAACAAAATGACAATTATTCATTGTTTAGTGGTATCAAGCCGGACTCGGTTTCGCGTTCATTATTCCGCCAATAAAATATTGAGTTATGAAATATCGTGTGGCGAAAAAGTAGGCTAGGTAGCCGGCCTTGGCCATGGAATATCATGGAAACGATTTGATTGACCACCACCAAAACCTATTTTTTCGCAATGACAAATTGTAAGACACAGCGTTTTTTTAAAGAGTGTATGGTTGTCTAACAGCATTTTATAATCAGTTTTTTTCCTGACTTTTTCAAAGTATAYCGCATTTCGGATCCTTCTCAGACTGTCATTCTAGATTCAACCGTCTCTGTCCTTAATTGATTCTAAATAATAAATAACACATCAAAAATCATAAAATAACTGTTTTTAATCTCGAGTTCTGGTTGGTCAGAAGCGCATGCTTTATGAGAGCACACAGCACGAGTGCGCCCTTTCAGTTGCGTCATTCGGTTAAATAACGGTTATTGTAATTTGTATTTTATAAAGGAAACAGCTTGCTGTACTGTGCTGTGTGGAGTTATAAAGTCCTTGAGGATTGGCAAAACACTCGAGAAGTGTCCAGAAGCACTCCACTACGCATCATGCTTCTTCTAACACTCCTCTCGTGTTCTGCCAACCCCCAAGTGCTTTATAACTGCACACAGCACGAGAGCGCATTTTCTATTCCTTCTTAGCTGCGCATAATCTCCTCCCACCTCCCTAGCAAAATAGATCTATTTAGAACTGAATTGGTCTCATACGTTATCCCAATCTCGTACACAGAGTCAGTCCTCAAGCACCTTTCTGCTTAGTCGTCCGCTGACCATATATTAAGGCCGGAAGACTTTGGGCTCGAGATTGGCGTTACATATTGAGTTAGAATGTCAGAACACATATCGCATACCTTCTTACAACAATAGACCGTCACGGTGAGTTCCTTGATGGCTTTCATCTTATCCTCTAATCTTTCTTTCTTCTCGAGTTCGTTGAAATATTTTTCCTGCCTTTCTGCTTGCACCTGATCATATAATAACAAAAATAGAGATTATATCATAGCCACGATATAACGCGCGCTCCGATTGGTTAATTAGCGTGCGCGAGCGTGCATCCAGAAATGGATGGTGCACACTGACGTAATTGAGTAGTGTGCGCTATGTAATGAAGATGTCGTTAGAACAAAATTTGAATTGTTTTTAGATAAGAAATTTTTTTTTAAAGGTTTTGCTATGTTATAAGAGCAATGGACAATGCTTAGTTGTGCGTATATCCAGTTCTGGATGCACTTAAGAGGTTGCTTAAGCACTCAAAAAGCTAGAGCTGCGCTTACGCTTATGCTTCAATCGTGCTTAGAAACCTCCCGCGTGCATCCAGAACTGGATATACGCACGCTAAGCATTGACCTTTCCTTAAACAAATGCCGACATCGTAAAATGGGAACACTTACAGTAGGCATATTTTAACTTAGCTGTAATTTTACCCCTTTTAACTGGCTCTTGGGAAGAAAGATTTTCCCACAGTTTAAATCAACAGCATTCATAAACATCCTTTTTCAAGCAATGCTGTGAGAAATAGGAATAATAATCAAGAGAATGATTTCACGAGAAAGTTATATTTTCTTGTGCCTCCCCTTACCGATTCTACTTGATCGTTGTGCAAAGATTTTGCACGCAGTAATCTTTTGCCTTCGTTTGAATTTAAGTTAATGACACCAAACTCGGGACCCAAGAGTCTTCTCTTCTTTGGCTGGTTTTCTGGACTGGAATTTTCTAAGAAGGAACAAAGGAAACAAAGGCTTAATCTTTTAACACTACCCTTTTTATTTTAGCAATTCTTTAGAACATTTGTGACAAATTACTCACCAGTTGCTTACTACTCCTGTTTCAATACAATACAATATAATACATAATATACCTCACAACATCACTCTTTTACAACACCCTTTTGTCACTCCCGTGCCAATCCCGTACCACTCCCGTGCCACTCCCGTACCACTCCCGTGCCAATCCCGTGCCACTCCTGTACCACTCCCGTGCCAATCCCGTACCAACCCCGGACCACTCCCGTGCCACTCCYGTACCACTCCCGTGCCAATCCCGTGCCACTCCTGTACCACTCCCGTGCCAATCCCGTACCAACCCCGGACCACTCCCGTGCCACTCCCGTGCCAATCCCGTGCCAATCCCGTACCAACCCCGGACCACTCCCGTACCACTACAGCTCGTAGGCCACTCCTATATCACACCTTCACTAACTATACCACTCTTATATTTACTCTCTTGGCCACCCTACAGACCAGATCACTACAAACTTTGCGTTGGTCACCTTCACCCCCACCCCCACCCCCACCCGCATCCGTATCACATCCTAACAACTCTTGGGCAGGTCCTGTATCTAACCCATACTATTTTTTGCAGATATTGCTTACCATTTGACTGTATTGTGCTGCTGTTTATATTACTCTCCACTCGTTGTTCTACATTCTTGTTTGCCAAGGGTGAAATCTTTTTCTTGACGGCATTTGGATTGCTTTTTTCGAGAGGTCCTTTGCTACGAATCATAGATAAAGCGCGATGCTAAAACGAAACGAAAAGAAAAGTAAAGAAATTTTGCATTGCGTATTTCTGTCGATCCTACGATCCTTCGCGTGCTATTGACTACCGCACAAAATCTTCTCTACACAATCAAAATTACATGTAACGCGCTTTACCTTTGCGAGCGCAGATGATTTACTCGTCTTTTGAGGGAAGCCATCAAATACGATATCTCCACCTGGTTGGATACCTTTCCCTAGCATTGGTACCAATGACTTGGTTCTTGCTACCTCCCTAGACTTTTGAACATCTCGATTGTGGTTCTTGAGTAGTTGGGATGCGGACATTTCTTTTACTGTTTCTTTTTTGTTTTCCTCTATTTTTCCGTAAAAGGAAAGAGTATGGATTGACAATGAATTTTTTGAAGGGAGGGGAGAGAAGGGATATGTTGGTACGAATTACTTTTGGATAGACTTCAAAATACCATGTATCTCTAGGTCGGTGGCGTAGCGACTCTAAGTGCGAGCGAGCGCGTTTTGGCGGTTGCGCAAGTTCCCGCCAATTCCACAAGAACTGCAATAATCATTCAGCCCTGAAGAAAACTATTTAGTAGAAAAGGAATTATTATCAAGACATGGAATAAGATAGTTTCGCAAACTTTTCGACTTTTCTTTTCAAAAATAACGAAAAGTTCTTCGCTATTGCTGTCCATCTTCTTTCTATTCGCTGTAAAGAAGCAGACTACGGTACCTTGGACCATAAATACTTTTAATGCCAATTAAAAGACTAGACTGCATATTAGCGGTTGCCAGAGGTGCCTTCTTATTGCTTTCAGTTCGACCCCGTTCAGCTGCTCCACTGTCATACTTGCGCTGGTGTATAACGATAACAAGTCTTACAAGGAAAGGTGGGGCATTATCACTGGCACTGAGACGATACTGTGTCTGTAGTACTTACGTTTTTCTTTATCCAAGTGTAGATACTTGACGAGATTCCTGGTGCCCACAGACGGCTGTGCCAATAAGTCTAGACTGAAAATCAGAAATGCGGTCCATTTTACATGCATGATTAAGCAGTTGTTTTTACTCTGGATTGAATGGTCATGTAGGAATCAATCTTTTACAGTAATATCGAATTCCCCGATCTTTTATACAAATATCCAAATTTTGCAACAACAACAAAAATAAAATAAAAAAAATAAAGAATCAAACTTACAAATGCGTGGATGGTTTATCAGTGTTGTTCGTTGTAGTTTTCGAAGGCTTTTCCTTTATAGCTGTTACTACATGTATAATAAATGAATGAATAAATAAAAGAGAGTATAAATGGAGAGAAGGATTAGAATGAATTTGATTAGATGGATGAACACTAACTTATAACTACACTGTACCTTGTGAGGTTTTAACATTTTGTGCGTTGTCAAGAGCAGCCAAGGACACATTTTTGGTCTTCTGTGGTGCAGCACTGTTCAAGGTTAGTGTTTTTCCCTGATACATGAATGTTGAGGAAGACATGTCTTTACAGAGCTTCTTGATAAGAGGACTTTTGTTTGGAGTTTTGTACCTGATAGTAAAGAAGAAATAAAGGATGAGCCCAATTGAAAAATGTTGTTTGTCGTATGGGATTTCGGGAACATTTCCTGTTTATGAAGACTATGTACTGTATGCATAAACTCACCTGAGTGGTCGATAAAGAGGCATTCCCATTATCTATGGGAAGCACGGGTGGTGTAGCGGTGTGAGCGCTCGCCTCTCATCAATGCAACCGGAGTTCCAGTCCTGCCAGGTTTGGTGTTGTATATGAGTAGAGTTTTTCCTCCCTCCACAAAATTCAACTTCTAAATTCCAATTCGGTCATGGAATGAGGGCCACAGGTTTGTTAGCCACTGGCTATTAAGTGCTACCCTCGTCAAAAAAAGGACGGTCATCGGCACTGAGGGTTGTCGCTGCCAGGGGGTGTACATCAGCAGTGGATGGATGCACACATATTTCATTACTGCAGTAATGGTTGTGAAAGTACAGTACAGTACTTCAATATGGGCAGCTACATCATCGTAGCAGCTGACCACAAATCAAATGGCCATGATCATTATTAATCAGCCAACAATGACTGACCTAGAGGCCCTGACTCCTCTTCTGCAATATGGATGATTAAACCCAATTTTCAAAATGATTATACTGGTAATATCTTTTCTTTTTTCTTTCCGAAGAACTTACTCTGACTGCAGTTCTATTCTTCGCGATTGAACTTTCTTGTATGCTGAAGTGATATGATATTCACAGAACTCCCCATACTGCCTGTTGGATGATGAGAAAAATCAAAATTAATAAAAAAATTTTGAATCAGGAAATCAGTTTAAATATGTGAAATATTTTCTTTTTTTGTGTACAATAATGTAATTTCCCCTCCCCTTCAGGTTCACATCCATTTTTTCCTTTTTTCTTTTCATCCTCCACAATTTTCATTTGCCTCTTTTAAAATCTTCTAAACGAACATGAATTTTAGAAATGCCTCCAAAATTAACAAACTGACATTGTTTGAATTTAACAAATGCAAAATGCCAAACAAATTTCTCCATTCTTTTGCTTGGCCCCCAGGATGTCAGTCATATTTGGGTTCATAAAATGTTTGACAGGTGAAATTTAAGGACTTTTTAAGTAAAAAAACTTTCAAGGACAGGATCTTGAGTATAATTTATGACAAAAAAGGAGAAAAGAATACAGAAAATTGTTTGTTATTCTCATATTGTATGCTATGACCCAAGGAACATTTTGCCATATCAATTAGACCTTTCCCAAAAACATTATTGAGCTCCTTCAATAAGTGATAGGAAAACACTACAAACCTCTACTTAGCAAGTAGTATACATATACGCTCTTTAAAAAGGTACTTGCATAATTTGAACATTATAAAAATCAGTTTCTCTTGAAATAACCCCAATCTTACTTGTTAACGATGTTGGTGCATGATTTTCCATCCTTCTTTGTGAGAGCCAAGCAGTGGCCAAAATCTCTACTAATGCCCATCATCATCAGTTTCTTAGGATTATCCAGTGTAAGGGCTAGCTCCTGAGACTGTTTCTATAAACATTGAATCAAAACATAAATTAGCTGAATAGCAGCAAGAGCACTCGTCTCTCACCAATTTAACACAGGGTGCATACAGATTTGCTAGTCAGTTCTCATCTTGGCTTTGAGAATTTTTTTATAGATTCTCTAATTTTCCTTCAGCTGCAAATTTAAACTTCTAAATGCCGATTGGGATTACGTGGAAAAGATCCAATGTGTGAAACCATTGTTAAATTCCCATTATGAATATGCTACCAATGGATCAAAAATGTTTACTGCAAAACAACGGTTTCAAAACAACATTACCATACAACAACTATAACTGGAACAACTAAGCAATTTCCAGCCTTATAGTACACTCAACAAAATTACTCGACTCTGATTGGTCGAGAGGAGTACGATTATAGCGTTAATTGTACTCCGTAGGAGTACCGAATTAAGTCGCTATGGCAACATGGCCAAAACAATGTCAAAGCAATTATTTTCTATCATTTTGTACTTAAAAAACATAAATAAAATTTTAAAGCGGTAAGAACTAATCTTTGCGCGATGGACTGAAAATCGGCCGCCAAATAGACAAAGATGAAGGGCGTCGCTTCGCATTTTTTACTGAAATTTTGTTGAGTGAACTAAAGGCTCGTGCAATTACAAGAACTTTCAAAACATTACTCGTGTCTATTAATTTCCAAATTGTACTCGAGATCGTGCGATTTCCTATACAAATTCATACAAATTTGGTTCTGGATTACTGACAATATTTTTTTTACCTCTTTAGCAGGGAGTATAGATGGATTGAGTAATGCAATAACACTCCCCTCTGTGGTCTTCCAGTGTTTTTTATACACTTCCCCAAACAAGAACAGTGCGACAGTATCATTTGCAGTTGTTGCTCCAAGATCTGAAAGTTTCCAGATCCCATAGGTTTTGCCCTGAAAGGTCAAAGTGGATAATAAGGTATACTATTGTACAGAATGATCTGAACCCAGGTGAATGAATGTTAATCAAAGTGTTATGATCATCTGGGTGGATGTAGTCCTGAGAAGGACTGTTTGATGTGACTGATGTCTCGACAATCTGAGCGGAAGTCATCTTCAGAGTCAAGTGAAGAATAAGGTAACTACTGTATTTGCTATAACTGAGTTAAGGTCATTTCCAGTCACACAGGGCAATGAAAGTTTGGGTTTGTTTCACCGCTTCAACAGCAAACTCAAGAGGTATTTGAAAATTTACATATAGTTTGGATTGGGAATCATTTACATGCATGTAGTTATGGTTATGGTCGCTGATTTCGAAGTAGTGGGAAGAAAGGAGGAGGAGAGATATAAAAGAGAAGTTGCAAGCCTTTCTCTTTTGCCTTCTTCTCATCCCCAAATTAAACCCCTCCTTTCCTCCCTCTCACCAGTTCCCTTTGCTTGGTACTGTATACAGTACACAGGGTTCCCATTGTCCTGGAATCCCAATTTGAACAAAGTAGGGTTTCTGTACAGTATAGACCAATTAAATTCAAAACTCGCACTGATGTGAGGCTTAAGTTGTGAAAAAAGGGATCTGGCGTGACTTGAAGTAATCTGGCCTGATTCAAAAGTCACAAATCACGCCAGATTCCTTTGTTCACAAATTAAGCCTCACATCGGTGCGAGTTTTGAATTTGGTCTATGCAAGGGTTAAAACACAATGTTAATGCATGGCACGACTGCATTAGTTTTTTTTTGCATTTTCACAAAAAGTTCAACACTGTATTATATTCTTGGGGTGCATCTACATCATAGCCTAAGCCACCATGTTGGTTGATGATAACAAAGCGCTCTTAATTAGCTTCTCTTGTTACATTAATCAACATGGTGACTATTTTAGTGTTATTTATATGGTATTTTGAGTCATGTGGTTGCATTTCAAGAATGATAAAACTCACATTTGAGCTGGTTTTTGCAGGAAGCTTCTTGGCAAGGACACCTATAGTCACCCAATCATAGTCAGCATCCTTTCCTTTCAATAACCTTGATATGTTTGAAATAAGAATCATTTTGCGTCCTTCCATTCTATTTGACATGCTTGTTGATGAGATGAGAGGATTACTGCAGGTAATTATTAAAAGACACAAATGAATCAATTCATATATTGTAGCTCAACAGAACATTTTTAAATTTGTACAATATCAATACATGTATGTTCCTTGATGATGGACTCATTTACTCAGGGCTACCCTAATTTCAACATCAGAATATGCTCACAAAACTACAACGTAAAGTAAAGAATGCACAACTTCAACAATACAAACATTTTAAAATTCCAAGTACCTTCACTCAAACACATGAATTAACATTCTGCATAAAATTGAGGCTAACCCTGAGCAACAGCAAGTCTTGCTACCTTGTGTGGCATGTCATTGACTTACATAATGTACAAGCCAGAGAACGCATCCATTTGAACATCCTTTTCTTTGTTACCAGGAACCTTCTTTGATGCTTCTTCTTTTGCTGACGTTTCTTCTCTCTTCCTTTTTACTGATTGTTTTTTAGGTGGTTCTAATAATTTGGGGGTTTCTAAAATTGATTACAGGATTTAATGAGTAATTAAGGATGATGATGAAGGTTCATGTTGAAGATGATCATCATCATTGATGATGATGATGCACAATGATTTATGGGGTATAACTTGGCAGTAGAACAAGACTACTGTAATTATGAAAAGAAGGGCAATTCCTCCCCGCTACCACAGCATTTAAACAGAATGGATTTTCAGTGATTTTGAACCCTCACTTTGTCCTGGTTTTGCTGGAGTAACGATGATATTATGATTACTTTACCTATACAGGATATTGAGCTTGTCTCTTTGGTTGAAGTTTGAGTGGTTGGTGATGTTGGTGTTTTTGTTTCCGGACACAATTCAGCAGCTTCATTAAGAAAAGCATCATCGTTGTCACCATCATCGTTGTCATCATCATCATCTAACAGTGCAGCCAAGACGTTAAGATCATCCTCAGCTGTGGATAATGAAATCAATGTGAACTTACCTTCAGGGAATCAAGGGTGGGGTAGTGGTAGTGTGCACTCAACCCTAACTCCTGGGGTCTCAAGTTTGATTCCCTGAATTGGTTCATTGAGTAGAGTTTGTTAGGTTCTCCCTTGACTCAACAGTTTTTCTATGGCTTCTCCTGGGGCCACAGAACACCCTAAAAAGTGGGGGGAGGGGGGGGGGCTAACATTGGAAAATATATGAGACTAGTATGGGAAAAGGCAGCCATGGCCCCTGTTCTCTGTATTCCTCCCACCAAAAAACTATCCATCATAAAATCTAATTCAACTGTAGTTAGTGATGCCCTGATTCAGCCAAAAGGTTGTTTAAGGATTGGATCTGTGAGTTGGCCATGCCCTGACTTAGATCAGCCCAGAGGTTGTTTCAGGGTTCGATCTGTGAGTTAGCCGTCCCCAGACTTTGATCAGCCCAGAGGTTGTTACAGGGTTTGATCTGTTGAGTTAGACGTGCCCTGATTTTGATCAGCCCAGAGGTTGTTTCAGGTTGATCTGTGAGTTAGCCATGCCCTGATTTAAGTCAGCCCAGAGGTCGTTTCAGAGTTTGAGCTATGAGCATGCTGTGCCCTGACTTTGATAAGCCCAGACCATACATGTAGTTGGCAGAGGGTGACCCCCACTACTAACTACATGTGTGCCCAGATATTGTTCCAAGTTTGAAATTTACCTTTAATGAACGTCAATCAAAAGCAAACTCATTGTCCTCACTGAAGCCTGTAAATATTACTCTATGAATTGAGGTTCACCAAGACTTATTTTTACTGCATTTGAACTCTATATTTCGTTGTTTGTGTGACTAACAATAGCTGTAATCAGTGAAATAAGATCATGAAGGATATTTCAAGCAAAGTCAGTCTACAAATCAATGACTCTTTCACGAGAGCAGAGTACAAAGCTTGGTTCTACCATGGTATGGTTCTTTACCCTCCCTATTCCTTCCCGTCGCCATACATGATCCTAAAACGAAGTTATTTGATCATTGATCAGTTATTTACCTTCCATTTTGTGTTTTCAGGTCCTCAGCCGAGAGATCGTTGCAGTATTTGGTATGTTTATCTGTTTTCTTATGATGCTTCCATTACCTTATTTATATTTTGGCGCGAAGAATGCTCGATCAACACAGCATTGAGAGGATCTGGTAACTAGTAAAAACCACAGGAAGCCCACTAAAACCCTACATATTTTTGATTGCCTTCATAAAACTGAATGAAATAATGAATGAAATAATGAATGAAATAATGAATGAAATAATGAATGAAAGAGGAAAGCCAAACGCATTGTCATCGTAACCATTCAGGTATACAAAGCCAGGAGGATGATAAAAGAGAAGACTTTTTATCCAATAAATCAAATATTTTCTTTAGAATTCCAGAATACCTACATGTAGTACCCTAGAAAAAATGGAAAATGGGATGACGCATACCTACACTGGGTTACTGGGAAATTAGACTTATAACTTGGGCATGTTTGTCATTTACTGTAATTCTCAAAATTCTGTTAACTTGGTACTTGTGAAATGCACACTGAAATTTGCTACCAATCAAATACCAGACTTGTCCCCAGTCTTCTCTCAACGCCTTTCTCTCTATCGCAAAAATGCTTTGCGTACAATAGGGAGGGATGACTGGGGACTGGTCAGAATCAAATGCAATCAGTTTGTACCTTTTATATTTTCAACAACTGGCAGCAGTCGAAAACCATCTTACAACAAACCGTTTAAAATAATATTGTTTTCATAATATTGAGAATTGCAGTTAGACCACATATGCTTCCCTAAATATAATATACTCTTCAAGTAGAATCCATATTCATCTCTCACATGCAATTATAAAAATAATACAAGGGAATGACACAGGTCATGACCTGAAAAAAGAGCTGTTTCAGTTGCAGGGACAATGAAGCAAAGTTCCTCACATTTATTGCAGACAATGATTACTTTAATTGTTTTTTGTAGAGGACAGCAACATTTCGACTGCAAACTGCTAGTCTTTATCAAGCAATGGTGTAGACTGGATGGTGTGAATAATCAATAAGTATCATATTTTATTAGAATAATATTTTTCATTCTATAATGATAATTTTTTTCTTGGTTCTCAGTTGCTGGAGAAATTTCCAAAACCAATGCTCAATATACATGAAATTGTCTTTTATTAATAAATTGCTTCAATAAATGAAGTACAAAATAGCAATTTTTCTACACAATTGATAAAATCATAGTTGTGACAAGATAGAATTTTACCTATACCCCAAATCAATTTTAAATCTCAGATCCCAAATTACTTAATTTTACAATTTCTTTAAACCCATACCCTGTCACGACCCTGATGTAGTATTAGTTAATTATCAGATTATGATCACTGAAATATGGAATTGCTCAACAGGTCTTCTAATAAATTTAAAACTTCACAATAAATAAATATGCACACAAAATCAAACAAATGATTTCCACCATGACCATACAAGTTATGATTATAAATGTATGTATTTTTTTACATGACCATTAATGGAGGGCTGGTGAAAATAACATATAATTAAGGATGACCAATTTTTGTTCAAAAAAGGAGAAATTCTGGTAAATTCATGATAAACAATGTGCTTTGTGCAATCAGGAAAATTTAAGCACCAGATACCTTGTTATTATGCACATAGCCACTGCCAAGCTTTAAATAGGAATAGTTTCAAAATAGATGTTACTTTATATAGGAATTTATTTTTACAAAGTTCAAAGACTGGTAGACCTTAACTAGGTACAACATTAACAGAAGATTGAGAGCTGTCAATTATGCCCTAAATTTTTATATTAGGCCAACAACTTTATGCACCTTATAGTACATAATAAGGTCTTAAACTCTTTTACCCATATGCAAAGGAAAATCATAAGATTCTTTGTTAGAGTGCACACCATATATCTATGAAATAGTTACTAGCTATGTAATGCCTAAACGTATTTAGTTATCAACTCATAACTTGTCAACTAAGAAATCATTCAGACACGAACCAAATGTACACACATAGAGGTATTTGCTTTCATTTCTAATGTTCTGTTCCAGAGATCTCTACTATTCTGTAAAAAATAGCTGCAAATAGACAATAAATCTTTGATTTTGTTTCATGGATATATGGCGCACACTCTACCATGTAAAGCATCCTCGCTTTTTAGATCTAACAGCTAGAAAATGTCTATGTAATCTGTTCAAACCTAACCACTGCACATTTCGCAAGCTTCTGGGTTGTCACGTCTACACGCCTCAGCAGCTTTAGCTCTTTCCTTTTCCTTGTTAGACTCATTATTGGAAGAACTTTCTTTGGTCTTTTTGGCCAAGGCAGCTTGATCTACTGTGAACTGGATAGCATTGGCTGCTGGCTTGGTTCTTAAGTAGTACATTCCTGTTTTAAGACCCTGGTGAGAATAAGCAAAGGTCAAAATAATGCATTCTCAGATGCACCAGAGCTTACTTTTTAAAATAAAAGCTGGTCAATGGACAACATCCAGCTAAAATGGCACATTCTTCACTATTTTCAACAAGTTTCATGACTGCTCTTTAAAAAAAATCAATACATATGGTTAAAATGACAATACAAACAGTACATTGGTCTTCCAATCAATAGTCCCCTTCACAGTACCCTGCACCATCTTGAAAGGTAGCCGAGCCTTTGCATCGATGCGAGATGAACGGTGAGCTTGCAATGATAGAGACCTTTTTTTAACACCTTGGACAATTATTCACAGGTCTCTATCATTACAAGCTCACCGTTCATCTCACTTCAATGAACAGCGTGGCTACCTTTCAAGGTGGCACAGAGAACTGTGAAGGGGACTATTAAACAAAATCTAATCAAACAATAGAGGTGCTTTACTATGGGGCAATAAAAAAGCTGGTTCCAAATGGCCAGAATTGGCACTTGTTGCCAAACACCTGTTGGTTTTGTCCACTTAACTGGTTACATACTGATCAATCTTGCAAGAAATGCAGTATGGCCAAGCTAAAAATCCATGTGGGTTGCAACATGGTAGTCCTGTAGTTATTTACAAAACTCACATACCTTTTTCCATCCATAGAAATGCATGCTTGACAGGTTGCCAAAGTTTGGCTGTGCAATGAAGACATTAAATGACTGGCTCTGATCAATGTATGCTCCTCTGTCTGCAGCCATGTCTATGAGGGTTCTTTGCTTGATCTCCCATACTGTCTTGTAAAGACCTTTGATTTCATCAGGGATCTCTTTGATTTCCTGTTGTATTGTAATAATTCACTTATTAGTTATTYGATTACATCACAATAGTCACCAGTGTATATTATATTATATAAGGACGCTCAGCTAAGAAGATAGAGTTACCGACTGCACGTGTAGTTTAAGTTAGCACAAGTCAATTGAGAATAGAAACCAAGAACATGAGATACAAAATTTCCTATAATTGATAAGAGAATAGGTGTTCAGTTGATCCAATTAGTAGTCTCATTTTTTTGTTGTTTTTTTTGTTGTCACATTGGAGATTTGTTCACATGATGGGATGTTTGGATACAACCTTGCGAAAGACGATTTTATTCTACTTCTGCAACATTTTGCAGAAGGTTTAGCTAATATGCCTAATCCACTGTTTTCCCGTTTCAGACCATGTGTTATTCCCTAGAGTATAATTTCTTTGTTTAATTGTTACCTATAATTTCCATATCCAAGGATACTTTAATACTAAAAAATAGAACCAAAATATATTTTGGCAAAATGCAATCATGCCTCTGCAAGTGTTCTGTATTTCTTACCTGAATTGACCCATTGTTAGCAATTAGCTCGTTTTTCATGTCATCATTCCATAAACCCATCTCAGTTAGGTCTTTGAGTAGATGGTGATTCACAATCTACGATAGAAAAAAAAATTAGCCTACATACCAAATTGACCACAATATATAAACATTATTAAATAAATGAAAGAACAAAAGGAATAAAAGAAAACACCTTTTGATAAGAAAATAATAATAATAAATAGAGGATATTACATGGGTGCGCGGAAATACGAAATTTATCTTCGAGTGTTGAAAAGGTCTCTCACAAGAGAGCGCAGCGAACGAGTGAGAGATTTTCAACACGAGAAGATAAATTGCATATCTCCAAGCGCCCATGTAATATTATTTAATATAATATTATATAATTATCAATGAAAGTATGTTTTGGCTTTTTCAGGCAATTCTTTCCGTGTATTTTTGAATAGCCATCGCAATGGTGTTATTTTCACACTTGAAAATAACATGTTATTTTCACGTGTGAAGATATCAATTTTTCGAAATAGAGAAAAATAGATATTTCATAGGTAAATATATAATAAATAAAAATATTTTACCTGAAACTCGCCAGAAAGTACCCTTCGTGAATAGATGTTACTAGTGTAAGGTTCAATCGACTCATTGTTACCAAGAATCTGAGCAGTTGATGCTGTCGGCATGGGAGCCAGAAGAAGACTGTTGCGCAAGCCTTGCCTATAGTTAAATACGATTAAGTATCGGTAAGTAAAGTCATAAAAAAATAAATGATAAATTTGAAGGTAACATCAATTCAAGTCCTACGTTTTGATTTTCTTCTTAAGGGCTTCCCAGTCCCAAAGGTTGGATGGTGTTACACCCCATAAATCATACTGCAAAATCTGAAGTAAGAAAGATGAAAACAATAATTATTAGTAACTTAATAAATTTTGCTAATGACCTTAAAATCTTTATTTTTCCCTATCAAGGTCATGGAAAGACTGTCTGACATCCACAATCTTTGTCACATCACAATATTATATGATAATAAACAGTACATTTACTGCTAACAGACAACACTGCTGGGGTTTATGTAGAGGAGGGGGTGGGGGTGTACACCTACCCTAGATTAACTCCCTAGATGAGCTAAGTATCTTTTGATGGAGAATGACTTGATGTGCATACTATTAAAATGCCTGCACTACAGTCCTACAACTACAATCAACTACTTTCTCTGGTGTTGTAATTTATTTTTCTTACCCCTTGGCTGGCAGGTGAGCCTTCGTATGTTGAATATGGTCCATCTTTGGCTGCTAGTTCAGATGATGCCTGCAAGAAAGGGATTTACTAACAATTACTACTTTGTATACCAGTATATGAGAATATATATAAACTATATTTAATATATACAGTATGAGTGGCAGTGTTGTATCAGAGATACAAACTTGAGGCATAGCCGAGCGTTTGTATATCGGATACAACACGAACACTGTAGATTGCTTGTCAAACGTCTAGGTTAGTTCCTTTGTGTTTCACTAAAATTTTCAAAATTTAAGTGAATCTGGCCAAGAAAATCCAACTTAAAGTTTATGCAAAATGAACACAATTTTGTATCAGATTTACAGCACTTATCTTGGTCGTGATTTCTGTTGTGTTTTCCTCATGAATTATTAATGAATTTGATAAATATATATAAACTATTTGTATACTTTGTGTTGTCATTTTTCTCTGATAACAGTTATAACATACCCATATGCATCATGATGCGAATCATTTTTTACACCTTTTTCATAATTATAAGACCCAGACAACCAGCTATAATTTAGACAAATGAGTTTTTTCAAATTTCCAGCAATCTGAGTTAGGAATTTGGAGGCCAAAAACCAGACATTTTGGGATGAGTTGTTCATGAAATATGAAACTGGGTGTAACATTAGGGAGATTCTCTAAGTGTAGAATGTACATAACTCACAGTGTCACTGTACTTACCTCTAGTGCTGCATAATAAAGAGTTTCAAAGATATCTCTGTTTAGCTTTTGTGCTTTTTCACTGTCAAAAGGATAACGCATCAGGATAAAGGCATCAGCCAAACCCTGAACACCAATACCAATTGGTCTGTGTCTCATGTTTGAGGTCCTGGCCTGCAAAGACAAAAACAATGGTTAGTACTTTTTAAAGGAAGCTGATATGCATTTTTCAGCAGCTCACTCATCTCATTTTAAATGGCTGTAGTTCCTGTTACAGACCTCTGTTCAACTAGCCACTTTTGTGATGAACCACTACCACTTAATGAATTTAGACCAGATATGGGTTATGGGGAAATCAGAGCTGTTGCAGCCACACCCTGGTAATGTCACTAGATTATTTACTGAGCATTTTTTTGCCATCTAGACTTACACACACAAAAAAACTAGGGCTACATCTGCAGCAAGACAACATCTTAATAAAATATAGGAAAGCATTTCCAAAAAATCTGCATTTAAGTATTTTGATGTGAAAATAATAGATGATTTTTTCCCTGCTTTGTCCACCAAAAACAATGCATTCAGTTGAAAAAGCTTGGATGTATGGTTAGAGCAGAATCTGCATGACTGAAATGGCATGGCACAGTCATGAGTGAGCACCTCCCAAGTGTGAAGAGAGTACAAATTGTACAAGATACATTAATTAAGAGATCATTTAATAGCCAAATTGTGGGCATTATTCATATTATCACCAGTATTTTTTGTTACCTCAGGTACAGGGTAGTAATTGACATCTATGATCTTGTTCAGATTGCGAGTGACAACCTTAGAAATAAGAATGCATACACAAGCTTAGAAAAGCAGACAAAATGTTTATACCTATTTCAAAAAAATGGTTAACCAAAGGAGATAGGAGATAGCTGACATATTCCAAAATCGAAAGGAATAATGGTGCCATCCAAACATGCATATTATTAAAGTGCTTATAAGCCTTTACACAATATTTTCAGAATTGATTCTTTAAATAGTGAATAGTTGATTGTGAAAATAATTTGTCATATGAATGTCGAGTCTTTGAGATACAAAGGTTTATATTTCCAATATGTTAATGACTATGACGTAACATAAGGGATTTGAGTTATTTTGTGGCAACTTTTAATATTGAACGCTGGACAYATCTTGAAAACAAATTTGTAAGAACCTTTACGCGAGTCACGAGTAAAAGGGTGATGCTTTTAAAATACTGTATTCCAGAATGAGTGCAGTGTTGTATATTAAATGGTCCCTTATGTTACGTCATAGTCAGTAACATATTGGGAATATAAACCCTCATATCTTAAAGACCCGACATTCAAATGACGAAATATTTTCACGATCAACAATCCACTATCTAAAGAATCAATTCTGAAAATATTGCGCAAAGGCTTATAAGCACTTTAAGATCTTTAGAATGACTTTGACAACTATAAGCAAGGCAATTAACATAAACAGCAAACTTAGTAAGACTTACTTTTGTGACTTCATACAGCTTCTTGAAGTCAAATTCTGGGGTTGTTTTGTCTGTCTTGACAAATCTATTAAGAGCTATTGAAGCCAAATTACACACAGCAACCTGTAAGAAATATAGACCATTTTAGGGAAACAATGTGACAACCAATAAAGTGTTATTCCAAATGGAAAAGATGAGTGTCTTACACTAGACATTTACCAAAATACATGCAATATTACATGATTAAGCTTGTATGACAGAATCCAGTCAAAATGACTGCATTGGAAAGTTGATGAAGGCCCAGTGGAGTCCATCCATTGTTGAGCCTGTTGTGTTAAGGGTTGCCTCTTATTTAATTAGCATATTTATTGTATCTCAACCTTACCTCGTCAGGACTACTATATTCTACAATTTCTGTACATAGGTTACTGCATTTGATTGTGCCAAGGTTCTGGAAGATAAACCATTTCATTTGTTTAGTCATATGAGGTATATCCTAATTTATGAGGAACAAGTCCCGAATTCCTGGGGAGGGGGTAGGGGGTACATATTTGCTATATGGGTATGTGCCACCAAACAGGGTATGGTTTTCATTAATTCTACTCTGGAACAGGGTATGAATTTTAGTGATTTTTTACTATGGCACAGGGTCAGGGTTCAGAGAGCTTATATAGCAGCACATCCCTACCCTAAACGGGCAAGAGTACCCCCGGGGACGAAGTGCAAAGTATCAAACTTCCAAATAACAAATCACATTCAAAGAAATATTTTAGCTACCTTTTGGTTGCTTTTCTTGTTACAGGAATCCTTATATAACATGTATGGAGTCCCTGTTTCTATCTGAGATTCCAGAATAGCAAACCAAAGCTTCTGGGCTTTTACTTGTTTGATAAACTTTCCTTGCTGTTCATAACTGCAATATAAGAAAATGTACACTTTTAATGAATTGTATATGGTGTAGCAGTTCTATTCCTGAACTTGAGATAAAGTGACAAGAGTTACTTTGTCTGATCTCTCCCTTCACAAGGATTTTCTTTGTTTTTCTTTCTTCCTGACTTAGATCAGCCCATAGGTTATTTCAGCCTTCAATAAACTGATAATGAGTGGATCCAATTTTTTCTCTCTTAGAAAGCATTGGAAGTTAATGGGTTAACTGTTGGACTGTACCTTTTATAGAGCTCTTCAAACTCTTCTCCATAGCAATCTTGTAGTCCTGGACATTCATTAGGGCACATCAGACTCCAAATGCCATCCTCTTCCACTCTTTTCATAAAGAGATCTGGCACCCACAGTGCATAGAACAAATCTCGAGCCCGCTGTTTGAATTAAAAAACAGAATTCTGTAACTTAAGTTAATGATAGCAGTAGTGACAATGGTAGTAGTTGCATTGATGATGGTGGTGGCAGTGGTAGTGATGGTGGTAGTGGTAGTGATGGTGGTAGTAGTAGTGATGGTACAGTGGTATTGAAGGTAGCACTGACGCTGGTAGTGATGAGGCAGTGGTAGTTGTGATGGTGGTAGTTGTTGTATCATGTTAATTTATGCTAATTTATGTAAGCACGAAGCATGCGCACAAGAGCATATAGGCCACAAGGTGGAATAAAAAACATGGTTGACAAGAAMTCAAACTAGTCATCTTTATTAGACAATAACGCTACAGTAGTGATTGTGGTATTAGTAATGTTGTTTAGGCTAGGTAGCAGTTACAGTAGAAATAGTAATAATGGCAGTAGCGATGGTGCAATAACTAGTTAGTGATATTGTTTAATTTCAGCAATATTGAAATTTTCAACAGTGTCAGTAACAGGTCAGTAGCAGGTCAGTAGCAATTGAAGATGGCAAGGTACATTGTTACTAGTAGTCATGGTTATGTCATTAGAATCAGTAGAAAATGAAGTAATATGTAGTCCTGGATCAATACCTGTTCTTCTTTGCCAGTGTTTTTCCTCAGATCAAGAAACTCAAAGATATCTGCATGCCATGGTTCCAGGTAAATGGCAAAAGCACCTGGACGCTTGTTACCTCCTTGGTCTACATATCTTGCTGTGCTGTCGTACACCCTCAAGAGTGGTACAAGACCGTTTGATACGCCATTTGTCTGCATCAAACAAAAGTTTCTTATAACTTTTATTACTTTATTCTAAGCTTATTAATGCACCCCCATTATAAATTACTAAAAGCCCTTAAAACATTCACATATTATTAAAACATCTTGCAGACAAAACATTCAACTCCTTTTTGGGAGAGTTTATGCAGTGTTGGTGGCCCAGTTCATTATCCCCTTACACTCTGCAATGCACAAAAATCAAAAACAAGCATTGCCAGTGCAAGAAACAATAGGCCTATCCCGAATTTGCTTGACTGACCACGAAACAATGGTTTGAAGTCGAGACTGAACTTGATTCTTTTATTCATCAAGTTCAACCTCGAATTGAAACCATTGTTTCGTAATCAGTCAAGCAAATTCGGGATAGGTCTATTGCAACCAATGATAGCTTTACCAGTAAGAAATGGGTAAGATGAAGCCAAATTCTAAATTCAATTCAATATTAGAAAAGATTACAAAACTTACCCCTGCAATGTAGCTTCCAGATGCTCTAATACAGTGAATATTAAGCCCAATGCCACCTGCATTCTTCGATATCAGTGCACAGGTCTTTAATGTGTCATAAATCCCTTCAATACTGTCATCTGACATCGTCAACAGGAAACAACTTGACATTTGCGGCCGGTTTGTTCCAGCATTAAAAAGAGTAGGTGACGCATGGGTAAACCACTTATCGGACATGAGATTGTAAGTTTCAATTGCTGCGTCGATATCTTCTCCATGGATACCAACAGAAACCCTCATTAACATGTGCTGGGGTCGTTCAGTAATTTTGCCATTGCATTTGAGCAAATAGGATCTGCTTAAAGTCTGCAAGTAAAACGTTTAATAAATATGACAAAATCTAATAAGATTTTTTTTCTTCAGGAAATTAGCTTGAAGTAAATAAAAATATATCTATCTTATCATTGGTGGGTTTTACAATCACAATGTTGGATGAATTAAACAAAAGATTCATCATTAGTGTTTTATTATATTATCCAACATGACCACTGTAGTAGTAAACCATGTCTACTCTTTTGACCCAAAAGGAATTTGAGGAATGTTGGGTGTGGTTTTTACCCTAGAAAAAAGCGGAAATGACGTCAAACATGAAAACGAGACAAGTTTACTACTGGCCGTGTCTTTTGTTATAATCCATTCTCTTTGGAATGATTGAAAACCAGTAATAAGAGATATTCACAACAATTTGAATTTTATCAAGATGGATATAATATATGAATATATACAGCCATTTGCAAAAATTATGGCCCTATCAAGTATACATACAAGTATATCAAAAGTATATCAGACACAACGGGATATCTTTCTTGATATTTTTTTCAGAAAGCCCTAGCGATAAACAACTCAGAAAAAATGTCTGGGATGATATCCCATAATTTTTGATATATATTGGAAGCGGCCATAAATTTTGCAAAAGGCTGTATATAATATATATATATAAAATAGATATATTTATAAAATAACTTCCTTGCATTATGTATAAATAATAATAATACAGAAATAATTAAAACAACAAATTCTTTCAACATATATATGCCCTACCTTGAAGCCAAAATAGTTGTATTGGTAGTCTCTATCATAGATAATCGCTGAATTAAGCCTCTGAAATTGGGAGCAAACGTTTATTCAGAAACACAGAACTTTCAAATTCAATACAGTTTATGTAGAAAATGTGTGAAATAGAAGCATTTTGTAACAATCAACATTGTGCTATAACCAAGATTTCTGGTTGGCAATTCAAAAGATAAAAAATATATGCAAACCAACCAAGCTAATTTCAAGTATCTCCCCTTCTTTGTATTAATGGTTCATATTAGTATTAATGGATACAGTATTATTGTTATTATCATCATCATCAGCTGCAGCAGCCGCAGTAGTGACTTACATCTGAATATTTTTGAATGATGTCATTGGTTTCCTTGGAGATCAAAGGAGAATGTTTATTATTCCTTGGATTAACATAATTGTACAAGTCCTCCATGACCTCTGTAAAATATAAACAATTTTGCATTATAGAAACAGCATTATCAATGAAACCTTCGAAAGAAGATCCAGGAATTTGAGAAGGTGAGACGTATCACTATTAAACAAAATCGCACCACAGACTAATCAAAACAAAACAAGTTTCAGGGGCATTGTCCCAATAAAATTCTTAAAATACAGCTTCCAGAAATTATATTTTCTTTGTTCTGGGATGTTTTGGACAACAACAACAACAACAACAACACACACACAAAAAATGCACCCCAAATTTAAAGAAAGGGCCACAGCCCTATTGCCCCCCCCCCCCCCCTTAAATCTGCTTATGACCTTTCTTTTGCAGATACACATATAGGCACACATTTATGGAAGCACCAGCTATAATTCCAATGAATCAAATACAATTTGAACCCAATTTTGAGTGAGATTCAGTTGTACTAACTCCAATCAATCTCCCCTAGATCTGCTCAGAAAGAGGTATTTGAATATGCTTACCACTGAAGACTTTTTTGGTCTCCTTGTGTAGGTTGGACACTTCTATTCGAGCAGCTAGTAATGCATAGTCTGGGTGCTTTGTGGTCATGGATGCAGCAATTTCTGCTGCAAGAGTGTCTAGTTCAGTGGTTTTTACTCCATTGTAAATTCCTTTGACGACTTTCAAAGTGATCTCGACCTATAACAATAATGTAATAGATCAGTAATTTGGAGATTCTGGTACCCAACAAAACTTGTCCTGTAACACCTGCATGTGATGCTACATGCGAAAATCTAATACAGCTAATATGGCTGCTGCATGAGAAAGGTCCAGGACAGGCACATTTACTTTTGATATCACTGAAACTCTCTGACCAGCATGAAAACATTTAATAATAAGGAACTCTTACATACATAACACATTGTATATGTATATAAGAGTTCCTTCTTCTCTTACAGCCTTCCCCCTCCCTTTTTTCCTGAGAAGAAAGGGTAACACCTAAACTGGGAATGCCTTGTTATTTTTCTTTGTGCTCTTTCTCTCACTTGTCCTATAAGAAGTGCATATACCACTAAAAAAAACTCAAAAAAAGTCTGCACAACCAATTTCTAATAACACTTGGGAGGAGAGAACTTATAGGACAGGGGCGGATCCAGGGGTGGTAATATAGGTGACTAGTTACCCCCCTTTTGCTCAAATTTCTCAGTATATTGTTAGTAACAGTCACTCCCCTTTTCCTCAAATTCCTGGTAAAACCTTTGTAATAGTCACCCCCTTCTCAAATTCCTGCATCGGCCCTTGTAGGAGTTGCAAATGAAAAACATAATACATGAAAATAAACCTCTTTAGTTTACAGGGTATTGCTTTTAATAAGATAATGCATAATTAATTTCAATGTTGAAATCATTTCAAAATTTGTCTGTTTTCCTCGAATACGTTTCAATACTTACATAATAGGTTCATTTCGCGCCAAGTATTCGGCGCGCTCTTATATATATCTTTCCCTTTTGTTTGCATAGTACCGAGCTAGCTAAATTGTATTTTTAAGGTATACCACAAGTTAAATCCATAGGTTTTTAAATTTCTATCGGAAAACTAAGATAAGTTTTAACATTACGAAACGATTAATGTCGAATTGAATGTTAACGTGAAAAATTAGTTGAGATCAGTTGCACACGATCATTGTATTGCAACGTATTTTCCCGCGCTAAAAATTCCTTTCTTCTTAAGTAGTCAATAAAAAACAAGCTACAGTTAGAAGAACGTTATAAATTTAAGTAAAGAGAGCAAATATGTAATTTTGTACTGGAAATTTGGTAAGAATCGAGACAAGATTTGAGAAGGTAAATGTACACATTTACGTACAAAAAACAAAGCAAAGGAGTTCAAAACGCAACCGATTTTGCATGAAATCAAGGAATCTGCCAAAATATAACTCAAAAAAATCCTCGTACCTGTTAAATAGAGAATAAAGAAAGAGTAAGCAGTTGATTTTCAGAAACTACGATGAAAGTTTACCAATGTAAGATCTAAAGGGCATTTAGGTCTTTCTCATTTTCGCGCCAAATCCTCAATGAACTACGAAGGCATTTTGATTTCTCCTTCAAAATCATAACTTACCGGCTCAACAAATTCATTCTTCAGCCCATAGCACAACTTGCTGACTCTAGAGGTGATTTTATCCAAAAGAACTGGCTGAGATTCTCCATCTGAAAAAGAAAAAAAATCATAAGCGCGCGAACTGATGAACCAAGATGGCGGCCATGAATGGCCTCAGCACTTGAATTATTTTAAATACGTACTTCTTTTGATGACAACAAGTCCTGTTCCCTCGTCTTTTTTGCCTTGCCTAGACATTATATTTGCCAAAAAAAGACAAAAACTACAGAAAGAAAGAGAGAAATGATACTACAAACCTTCCTACAGAACGACAACGAGAGGAATGAAGAAATATTAGATTTGTAAAATGAGTGTTCCCGCGTTTCAGCAGCTTAACCAATAGGATTGCGTTATAGAACAAAAGAAAACCATTTAAGGATAAGTACTTTTAACACGTGACGTCGTCGTCATTGAATAGGGTTCTTTTTGACTCAAGATGTCGATCAAATCAACCAAATCAATGGTAATTTAATTAATCGTATCCTATAATGAAAATAAATTCTGTAATATACGCCAGGTTCTTGTTATATTTTATATTTTCTTTTTTTTTTTCAAGAAAAAAACCTGAGAGAACACTTGCAGGATGTTTTATTTTTGCTTGTCCTATTCAAATGTTTTATTTAATTTATCACATCTTATATTCATTTATATTTTTACAAATTACAGGTACAATTTGTATTGTGGGGTGTGGTGGCGACATAAGGTAACTAAGTTCACTCAAGAAAAAGACCATTTCCTCAGCTTTTTAAGAAAAATGATAATGGTATATATGAAATGTGTTTTTGTCACTCGGTAAAGATCTATATGTTAAGTGTATGCTACATGTAATCTAATCCGCTTATACACTCGATGTAGCATACACTTAACATATAGATAATGGTATAGTTTTCATAACTAGTCCCCCCTGAATGCCATTTCATGTACTTCAATGGTGGCTCTGGGTTCTTGAGTAAGCACTATTTATAAACATACAATTTATGGCCCATTAGAAAATGAAAATGAAATGCCTCTAAACCTTTTTTTTTTGTGTGATAATTGTGGTTTTACAGAACTAGCCTTTTTACAGTACTAGGCCAGTTTGTTCAAAGCTGGATTAGCGCTAATCCAGGATTAACTCTATAGGTCTTATTAAGAGTTAACCCAGGATTAGCACTAATCGGGCTTTGAACAACTGGGCCCTAGAGTGCAAACAATATAACTGTGAAACTTTAGTAATACTAAACAGCACAATTTCATGCAAATTCCATTGTTTTCTATTGTTTAATTAGCACTATTTTGTACTATTTAGTAATTAGTGTTTCATGGATTAATTGTTTGTACTCTATTGACTTGTAAAAAAATTATTTATTGTGTAATCTTATAATATTTTAGCACATAAGAAAATGAAAACATTTTTGTTATTTAACTTTAATTTTTTTGTGATAAAAAATATCTAATATTGAAATTTACAGGTCAATAAAACTAGCCTTTTATATTGACTTATAAAACATTGATTAATCGTGCAATAATCTATACTTATTTTTTAACATTTAATTTATGTTAGAGCAGATTTCTGTGCAAAAATAATAACAGCATGGTGACACCGTCGCATTATTAGGTACAGTATTCTGTAGTATTGACATAGCTATATAGCTGTACCATATATATTTTACTACTATAAATGGATCCTGATCACATGACACAATGTATATTTTATGAGAATAAAAAACTTTGTTTGACTGCATTACCTCACCTTGAAGTGCTTGAATGTAAGACTATGTAGGGGGAAATCTTTCATTTAAGTCAACATTTATGGCTACAACATGAGAAAGGTCCATATTATTGGGATAAGTCTTAAGAAAAACCGTTGTTGTTGGCATCTGACATTTTGTCAGTCTTGATGATAATCATCTTTAGAGTTAAGTTAGAAGTTAAGTAAAAAATGATAAGAACTGAACAACAGCGTTCTCAAGACTACATGTTGCGACCTAGATATTTTATACAGTGGAGCTAATATAAGTCCCTTTCATAGCATATCTTTTTTATATTTACCTGTTTAGTGTATTAATAATGAATTTCAATTTTTTCTTGGTGTTTGATTGAAAATTTCCATGATATGTTCAAGAGCTGTTTTTAATTTACAACATGCACTTTGCTGAGCATTGAAGCCTGCAATGAGGACTTCACCAAAAAATAAAACATGCATTTGCTCGACAGTCTCTACTGTGGTACCTGTCTTGGACTTTCTCACACCTATTCCCTCCCTCTCTTTTCTTTGAAGATCGCCGTGCAAATGCAGGCTACCAAAAATCTACTTATTATATATTTAATCTACATGCTAGCTTGTCCACATACAGTGCATAATTAAGGTTGGTTAATATTGTTCAGTCATTCAATAAACAGCAACACAAGCATGCTGCACATAAACCCCATAAGAAGCACTCTTCTCCACTAGTATCTCTTCTTCTTCTTTGGTCTTCATACACGTAGACAGTGTCAGGCTGTTGGGTGTAAACTGTTGTTCCACCTTGATGGGGAGGTCCATACTGTGGTCCATATTGCTGTTGTGGATAAGGTGAGTACTGTGGCGGTGGTGGGTTAAAGCCAGGAGGAGGAGGCCCTTGCTGATAAGGACCAGAGGGAGGATAAGGGCCAGGGGGAGGATAGGCAGGATTGTAAGGCTGTTGGTAACTCATCTTTTTAAGTTAAATTAAGTCTATGAATACGTAATGTTCCTTCGGTATGAACGGCTTCAGTATCTCTTCAAGTATCTCTAAATTGAGAGCCGTGTCAAAATGGCCTGAAATTAAATAAATCCTTCATCAGAGGAAGAAATTAATACCACCTGGTTAAATTATTAAGCCTAAATAGCGATAGATCTTGACGACAGCCATAATTACGATAAATAAGCTTAGAAGCAAGGTAATAAAGCATGAATTTCTTCATCGATCTCTGTGGCAGAAACCGAGAACACAACACTAGTAGTTTTATTATACATAGTAATTAAATCTACTCACTTCAAAAAGAAACCAGTTTCGTGTTTTAAGTCCTTTTTGCTGGGATTTTATAGGTGTTACTTACAACCTATCTTGTTTGCTTCTTCTTCGGCCGTATGTTTATTGCAACAGCTCACTTGCGTCACTAACATTACGTCATATATATTTCCATAAGTCCTTTCTTCAGCACGTAGGCATTTTGTCTGCGCATGCGTGCAAATATAASTTTTAATAGAAAAACCGCTGAATTGAGCCTGCAGAGATTGCCCAAGATGGCGGAATACTTTCTGTCTAACAGCGCTTGTTTACTAGTTCTCTGTGTCTTTTGGAGACCATTTAAAACGCTATCG